TTCGAAGTTTAAGAAGTTATACTGAGAAGTCAAAAGTGTAATTTTTCTTTTTATGCCTTCTTTAAGGTATTTGGACTTTTTGTTTGTTTTTTTTTGAGGGGGTGGTTATAAAAATAGCAACACTACCAGTTTCACTTAATAATTCTAATCTCATGCCTTTGGACTTTCCCAGGGTCCATTAAACAAAAACCAACCAAACAAACAAACCCTCAAAACAAAAGTAAAAACAAACAAAACCACAAAAAACCCCCAGACAAAATAAAAACAAAATCAACCCCCAAAAAACAAACAAAAAACCCCATGACAAACAAACAAAAAAACCCCAAACAAACAAAACCAAAACAAAGCCATTTACCCAGGATGTAACTTTAATTTACAATATCTCATAGCAAAAGTGACAGAGAGAGATGAATTTCCCTAGTAATTTAATTGAAAACATTTAGTGAATTTACAACATGAATTTAAAATCCTTCAAAGATAGACTATAAAACTGTAATAATTCAGCATTTACAGGAAAATCGAAATTAGTAGCATAGAAAGCATTACATATCCCTTCATGAAACTTTTATGGTTTTTAAATTGCTTCTCTAGTTTTTCTCAGCACAGAAAACACATGGAGGGAAATAGCTGCATAGGGTTAGCTGCGAGTGATTTCCACTAATTGACCAGCAAGTTGTTTTATAGATTAGCTTAAAGATGATACAAAGCAGCTCTTTTGTTTATTATGTGTTGCATGTTTTCTAAAAATCTGCAGACTTCTTAAAAGGCAGATTGCTCGTGCAGAGCAGCTGTTCTGTGTCAAAATATGCATCCTCTCTCTGCTCACTTCAGAGGTGCACTTCTCGGGAAAAATGCAGCCCATCCTCCAGCACACACTCACTCACTCACTCTCATGACAGCAGCTCTGGAGTAGAGATGAAGATGTGCTCCTAGAATACTCTGTCCACTCATAATATTGCCCTTCAGTCAGCCTTTATTTACATATGCCTGCAGCTGTGAACCTCTTTGCTTCACCAAGTGAGCTCCATGCCCTCTGCAAGGAGCTGTGAGCTCTGAAGTGACAGACCTCCACATTAATGGTCACAGTTGGTCATTAGCTTTCCACTGAATCTTTCTTGATGTCCTGTTAATGAACTCCCCACCGGCTTGTTGTGAAGATTGGTCAAGGTAAACAGTACTGGTAATTTATAGCTGAACCCCCGGCAGGCAAACGGCCTCCACTGAGTAACTGCAATAAACACAGTACTACTAAGTGGCAACACGTTCTTCCTAATTTATTTCTCAGTTGTAACTATTTCACTTGAAAGGAAGCTTTGGATTCTATGTTGAAAAATATGTTTACATATTTTATTTGGGGGCGAGAGGAATTTCTTTAAGAATTAAATAAGGAAAACAGCCTTAATCTTAAAACTCTTTTTATTTTTGGCATATTTTTACCCTTCACAGAGCATGTTTTCTTGAAAAAAAACATTTCTATGCACATGAAATTCACCTCTAAAAGGCTCAGAAGCCCTCTCAGTTACAAAAATTAGCTCTCAGGTGGTCCCTGTTAGATGCAGGAGCCTGGAGAGCTTTGATGGTTCAGCACCTGTGGTGTTTAATCTCAGTGAATCATGGATAAATTGGCCAGAAGTTACAGTCCCTCTAGCTGTGATCTTGCTAGCTCTTAAAAGCTATAAAGTTTCAGCCGGGTCCTGGCTTGGTAGGAAAGCTCTGGAAAAAGACCAAGAAGTGGCAGTGATGCATTAGGTAGCACTCTTCCCTTTAAGACTGGTAGATAGTGTCATAGGGGTTATCCAGTTATCACAGGATCCTGCCTTGGCTTTAGATGGGCAGGTACCTTTCCCCATTTCAAGAGTGAACAGATTCCACAGTGGCCAAGACATTCATAATCCTTTAAGGTTTTATATTTTCATTTTCACTAGTTCAAGTATCATAATTTTGATGCAAAACAAACAAAAAAAAAAGGTGCTATATATCTGCAATGAAACTGCCATAAGAAACTGGGTTTGCATGTCCTGGGCAAGAAAATTTATCATGTTTTATTACAGGTTTTCATGCACTTGATGCAGATTAAGCGGTGTCCCGATGCTCATCTCATTTCCTGCAAATGGCTTCAAGATTGTAAAAATCTTTCCCCCCAGTGCTTCCAAATGGCACTTCTTGAGCTGTGTAGAGATTAAGTAGTTGAGTTTCCAGGAAGGTGTCCTGATCATTACTCCCTGACGTGTGGAAATAGGAGCTATGGTTGTCTTTAGAAAGACAGTTTTTGCCCTCTCGTTGAAGTTACTCACCTTACATTTGGTAACTTTGCTCTAAATTATATGAGATTATAAAAATTTCTCATTACTCAGAGATTCTATTTCATACTCTTTGATTACAAAAGAGATCCTTCTCTCCATCCTGGTTTCAAGTACTGGGAGACTCCTGTTTCCTTAGTAGGCACTGCTGACAAAGCATGTGGCTCCAACCAAAACTTTGTGAAATGACTAAAAGCAACCAAGTTCTTAAACAGCTTGTGAAAGCAGCACAGATGGTACTTGCTTGATGTTGCCCATCTTGAACAAAAACATTTAATTCTGCACCTTTTATAGTGTGGATGTGAGAGTTCGAGACAGAGGAGTCATATGCTTTTACAGAAAACCATAAATCATTTCATATAAATAAGACACATATTTAATAATTGCTCATCTTGTTATGTAGCATCCTGCATTTCTTTCCATGCTAAAAAGTAAATAAGATGTTCAAATATTAATGTAATATGTTTGAGAAGGACCAGGTCCTGACCCAAAAGAGTGTATTTTTAAGGAAATTCATTGAACCCAGATGGAATTACGACATCTCGATACAGAATGAAGTAGTGCTAACAATGTTTTATTCTTATTTTTTGTCCAGGAGCTATGGACAGTGAGCTTTAAAATCCTAAAATCAAAAACTGAAAGTGTAAATAAAATATGAATTTGGTCTCAGCCGTAATACAAACTCCATGAAAATACTCTTCGTGGGGGGTGGGTGGGGTGGAAAACACTCCTTAAATCACAACACTTCCTTGAATGGCTGTGTATTATCCACTAAAGAAATGCATATAGCAGTTTAGAAGAGATGATGCATGTTGAGACAAATATCTTTACAGCACTGAATGGGAAATCTTTAACTATGTGTCTGTCCTCTGGTTTTATCCAATCTTAATGACACACAGAATGTGTGCAAAGTACTGTTTCGATCCCTGTATGTGCTCTGGATGAACCCCGAAGCCAAGTGATGTAAACATAATGTAAGGCACAATAAAAATAAACCAAAAGTGAAGGCATATTACATTTTTAAATTTTCATTATAATGATTAAATCAGTAACACTGTACATATATAGAATTTCTGCTCCTTGCTGCATGTGCCTAATGGTTATCCCCATTCTTAACGTGAGACACGTCCCACAATGTACAGAATGAGTTTGCATGTGCATTTTTTCAAGTGTCGGTGTTTAATACCTTCCTGCTAAGATAGCTTAGCAGTGAGCACACATCTTTCTACTGGATGTCCCTTGGGAATGGTACTCTACAGGAATATACCAGCCTTTCTGCAGAAACCATTGCAAAGCTGAACTAACACAATATGATTGCAGGTCTATTTTACCTAACCTTTATCTTTTTCAGAGGAAACATGGAAATGTTTTGTTAAGACTTAACAAACATAACTTTTGTTAAGCTAAATCATGGTTAAGCTAGGTCCTTTTGGAAAAACATAATCTTTGATTTCCTTACCAAAAAAGAAAACTTAGTGAAAGAATAATAAAAAACATCCTGTTCTTATGTATAATTTCATTTTTATTGTATTTATTTTCAGAAAATGTATTGAACCTAGTGTCAAGACAAGTAAATACTTTTGAAAATTTTCTACTAATATAGTTTTTTAATTAATTAAAGCAAAAATGAAAGCTTTTTTTTACAGATTTTGAAATAACATATTTTCTTACATTCTTTGTAACAGGTGGTTCTGCTAATCTAACCTGCCGAGCTTTCTTTGGATATAGTGGAGATGTCAGTCCTTTGATCTACTGGATGAAAGGGGAGAAGTTCATTGAAGATTTAGATGATAGTCGAGTCTGGGAAAGTGACATTAGGTAAAAGATAAAGCTTTTTTTTTTTCTTTTTTACTCTATGTTTTTGTGATACTTAATGTAATACTTTTTATCACAGACTAACTCAGGAGCACTTTGGGTCTGATCCCTTTTTGCAACAGCCATATTTTATCTTTTCTTCTCCACAAGTAGAGAATAGAAAAATGCACTACTCAGCCAGATCTCATATTAGAGAGTTGCAAGAGCAGAATAGCTGCCCAAAAAGTGTTGTAGTGTTGACGAACTGGAATTTACAGTGGCTTTTTCAAACTGTGACAGTCCACAATAACAACCGTTAAGACACTTAGTAAGATGAAATAAAGAAAAATAAATACATCAAGAAAAACAGCTCAAAAAGGCATTTTCAAACATAGAGCCTTAAAGAAATGCCAAAGTCTGACTTCCCTTTTGGAATATTTTGATTTATTTTCTTCGTGAAAAAAAAACTTGATTTTTCAGGGATGTTATCTGGCCTGTGAGAGCCAAGCATCCTGTTATGTGGGCTGCTTATATCTGCTGAAATACTGGCATTTGTGCCTTGTACTTCTACTGCTCCTGGAAGTGCTACCTCATTTGGAAATTAAGGAAAAAAGTGGGTTTGTGTTGAGAATTGCATGCTTGACATGACATACCAACTCCTATCCAATATGAAGCATCTGCTCTGATCTGAAGGGATTCCTTTTTCATTTATAATTCTGTATGTGTGTATATCACTGAGTTTATCATGGATAAACCCAGAAATAAAGGCACATCTAAATATGCATGTCATGGTTTAACCTTAGACAGCAACTAAGCACCACACAGCGGCTCACTCACTCCCCTCTTATCCCCCTCGGGTGGGGAGAAAAATCAGAATAAAAGTAAAGCTTGTGGGTTGAGATAAGAACAGTTTAAAAATTGAGACAAAATAAAGGATTATAATAATATCAATAATATTAATTGTAATAATAAACATATATTACTAATAATAATTGTAATGAAAATGAGAGATAGAGGAATAAAACCCAAGAAAGACAATATAATTGCTTACCACCCACTGATCAATGCCCAGCCTTTCCCCAGGCAGTGATCCACGGCTCCTGGTCAACTACTTCCAGTTCATATACTGGGCATGGCATCCTATTTTATGGAATCACCCTTTTCCCAATTCTGGTCACTTGTCCTGGCTATGTTCCCCCAAAACTTTTTGTGCATCTGCTCACTGGCAGAGCGTGATACTGTGAAAAGTCCTTGACTTAGGGTAAGCACTGCTCAGCAAGAACTAAAACATTGGTGTGCATTCAACATTATTCTCATACTGAATTCAAAACAATACGCTGTACCAGCTACTGAGAAAAAAGCTAACTCTATCCCAGAAAACTGAGACAGTGCATTACAAAGGAAACTAAGAAATCATGGATGTGTTATCTATAGTGATTGTCCATAAGAGAACAAAATTAGCCTATTTTACTTCACTTCTTACATGGATATTTACAGTGTCAACAAAAGACATGAAGTCAGGCTCAGTTTCAGCTTAACATTGAACTTCTTCAGTATAACCAAAGTAACAGAAACATTCCCTTTAACAAAATCAAGAAGACCACCTTGATACTCAAGGTCATCATTGCCAGATATAGGTAAAATGGAAACACATTTCACCTCTGTGTATTTCGAGGTCAAGACCAATACACTAAATGGTATGTGACACTCAGATCAGATATTTTGCATCTAAAGCTTTTCCCAAGCCTTTCTGCCAGTGACTTGGCTTTCTGATGACTAACAAAAAGGTGAAAAGAACTCTGTTACAACTTTCTTTTTTTTGTGGAGGGAGGAGCAGAAAGGCTGGTTTCCACTTCTTACGTCAAGCCTGACATGAGGGAGCAGCCTGGAATAATTTGTCATTTGCTTTCCTGGGTTCCTAAAACCACTGACGGTCTTGCTAAGAAGGAGAGATAGTAATGTGAAGACAGGTGGAGTCTTACAGAGGAAGTCTTTTATTTACCATCTGTATGAACTAGAGGCATCTGGCATACCAGCTCTTTCTACTGTTTTATAATACATAATCAAATCTTATACTGCATTCTAGAAATAATCTCTCAGACCATGGCATGAACATGTTGTTTCTGAGTGGCGCATTGAAAAGCCTCAGAAAAAGCACAAATACTGTGTTTGGCCCAGACTCTTAGTGTGACTCTAAACCCCAAAACAACAGTTTTCCCTTTTCTCTCTTCTCACGTTCCAAGACTTCATGGATCAGGGTCTCCATCAGAGTGTGCAATGATATATTATCAGTGTGCATATCATTCTGCTTAAAGAAGACAATGAACTGAAGCTCTCATTAACATTTACAGAACCAATCCTCCTCATTAGAAGTGAGGAAGAAAAGGGCATGACAAAATTTGATTAAGATTGCATCAAACCATAGCCAAGTTTGAAGCCGGAGAGCTGTAGGTTGTAAGCAGCATTATTATGTCATGGTTATCCAGTGCTCCACTATGACACAAGTGGAATAGCAGTGATGGTTGGTTTTTTTTCTCAGGGTTCTCAAGGAACATCTTGGGGAGCAGGAGGTTTCCATCTCATTGATTCTTGACTCTGTCGAAGAGGCAGACCTGGGCAATTATTCGTGTTACGTCGAGAATGGAAATGGGCGCCGACATGCCAGCATTCTTCTACACAAAAGGGGTAAATATGCAGCTTTTCTCCATGAAACGGTAAAATGTAGGGGAGATTTATTTTTTACAGAGCTTCTTTCTGATGCAAGCATGAATTTTGGTTTCCTAAGAACCAATAGTCAGTTATTATTTTCCCCTAGGAATTTGTACAGCTTGAAAAACAAACCAGAAAGGATGCTGTTAATTATGAATGCCACTGGAAAAAATACACTAACACCTTTTAAATATATCTCTATAAAAGATGCATTTAATAATTCCTCAGTTTTGAACTTAATAAAGGCTCAATAGAGAAAAATAGTAGGAAACAACAGCTAATACAACTGAAATAATTTTCTGTAAGAAATAAAATCAATTATTTGAAAAATCAACAAAAATACATTCCACTTCTATCAGAAATGCCACCTAAACCCCATGCCAGGAGAGTTCCTTCATTGCCTAACTGTGGACATTTTCCTTCTAACACTTTTGTTTAACATTAACATTTCTGAAGTGAGACATCATGACAGAAACCTCTGAGAACCTTCCTGTTTCTTCTCACCACTCACATCCCATGATTCCACCCTGTCTAATAGCCACAGCCATCTCCCACAGAGATGATTACAGAGAAATGGAGACTCTCTTGCAAATCAAGGCTCCCAGACCCATTTTGTCCACTTTACCTCTCAGAGGGTGCTCCACGTGCCTGGGATTGACACTCCCCACCCTCAAGCAGCATCTCACTGGCCTAAGAGAGCAAAGAATGAGCAGGAGCAGTGTGTGCACTTTGGTGTCATTACTGTGCTTTTTTTAGATTGCTTGTAAAGGTGAGCAAACCAGGTTCTTATTGTGGTGCTGAAGTACTTTTGGCATCTCAGTTTATATCAGAGCAGTGATGTCTTCCCTAAATTTACTTTCGTAGCATGCAAAGTCTGTCTAAGTTTAGAAGGAAACCATAAATCAAGATAGTGTGACCAAATAATTTAAACATATTATGTACCTCCAATTAATTGAATAGAACTAATTTGTAGCCATTTTTCTGAACTCGTCATTGCTTCTTAAAAGATGAATAACCAGATGTTCTGCTTAGCCTGGCATTTGCCACATTTTCTTGAATTCACTGAGATAAAAAACTAATGTATTAAGTAATTGAACCTCAACAATATACCAGTTAGTAGTCATATATTCCTCGTTCAGAGACATTTGAACCTGGAGCAAGATCTTAACCCAAAACACCACTGAAATCCACTGGCTTGTCCTTAATAAATAAATTAGTTGATGAGACACCAAAAATAAAGAATTTTTAAGGCTTAATTACTTGAAAGGCTTTTTAAGGCTTTAAATTACTTTAAAACCAATACTTAATTGACGTGATGAGTCCTTATTTTCTCTTCCATACAAGCAGTATCTGCAACACTGACAACACATGCTTCTTTTCTGTTCTATGACCACCAGATTTTTAATCTAACAGTGTAGGCATGAATTTTGAAAGAGTCTGCTTTCCTTGTTTCCTTTTTTGTAGAACTCAGTAAGTCAAACACACCACAGTGTGTGGCCTCATGATGACATACTTCAGAGGAAATAATCTCAATATTTAATTACCCTTATGAATAGTAAAATGATAAAAACAGCAAAAAAACTCCCCAAAATATTTTTTTCCTCTTTAAGTAAAGCTGAATCTGAAATTGATTTGGAAGCACAGTCTGTTGTGCCCTCAAAAAACAAAATGTACCTGATACAAGCCTTCTACACACTTTGCATGTTGACAACTGTTTCAGTGAAATGATAAATTAAGCATGACAGATAAAAATTTGAGCTAGTCTCTGAGGTCTCCTAGGAAGAGAAGCTTTACACTTCTTGCTTAGTCTTCTGTATATCACCATGACAACCTTTTGGTTTAGGTTTCCTTGTTTAGATCCACATTTAGTCTCTGCTAGGAATGAGTTAGCTGTTTATTAATTTCCGATTATTTGGCTGACTTAGAACGATTGGGACCTAACAATTAGGAAAATTTGCTTCCTGAACACTAAGATGTTTGCAGAGTATTAGTTTTGGCTGGTTTTCTAGTTAGTGATCTTTTTTTTTCCAGCAGTATAAGTCAACAAAGGTGCTGAATCTGGAATGTTCACTGCATACCTGAAAAAGAAATTATAATCCTTCTTAAACTTCCTCTGTGGAACATTATCACCAGGATCAGAAGGGACAGCAAAGCAGAAAGCTCTGCTACTGAACAAAAAGCGTTCCTGGGAAAAGAGGTATTTAGGGCTAAACGCTGCAGTGGGGATTCAGGTACAAAGTTTAAGCCTTTCAAACACCCTTGCAAGTGCTGCTTCAACCTGGTCAGTATAGTCTCTGTAAACTTAAAAGTCCAGGGGGAGATTTTAGAAATACCTATAATTAACAGGCCCTGAAAGGGCAAGAAGTCCAGAGTCTAACTCACTAGCAAAACCCTGGATGCATCTTCCTTAATCTTCCCACTCGTCAGCCCAGCAGGAACACACACTCTCCTCACAGAAACCACAAATGGTGGTCCCTATCACAAACCAGTGCCTGGCACATTCAGACGGGGAGAGGGGGCTTCTGCTCTTTCCCTGACATGGTACTGGAATGGATAGCCAGAGCCTCTCCTTTCCCGAAATCAATTAATTTCAGGAAGGGAGCAGAACATAATGCCCCCAACTCCAACACCACTTGGGCAGGAAAAGTGAACCTCGTTTCAACATCCGGCACCGGGAGAAGGCTGGGACGCCTCGTACCTCCCTCTAGTGTGGACACCGGTGCTCTGCATCTCGGGGAGCTGAGCCCTCATTTTCTCCTGAGCTTCTTTTGCTTTCTGATGCAAGTAGAGAAAACCTACGATCTATGTTTTTCTGCTGCCAGCTAACCATTTTTAGACTCCTAAATTTCCTCAGATGCTGTGCATAGGGAGCATTTAACTCGAAGCTAAAGGCAGTAGAGCACTTTAAGCATGACAATGACAATGCTGTTTCCTTTTCTTGTTCATTCCTACAAAATTTGTCCAATAGATAATCAGAAAAAGAGAGGGATCAGAACTCAGGAGATTTAACTCTCATTCCTTTCCTCCAGCTTTTGACCAAATCCGTTTCACCTTTACAATAATCAGGTTTTTTTTCTCTTTTGTCTAAGAAAAAAAAAAATCTACTTGTTATAATCTAAGGCTGATTTTGTCATTTACTGGTGATAGCTACCATTGATCATCTGTAGCAGTTCAGGCTAATCTTCATCCAGGTAGGGGAACCTTCCAGAAAATAATTTTTAGAGTGATACTGACAGCAGCTAAGCACAAATTTATTAATAACAGACCACATATTGAAAATGAGATGACGTGGATCACATACTATAATTCTATTTTTTTCCCATTTTTTTCAATTAAAGAAGAAAAGCCCATAGTCTATCAATGGAGTAGATAAAAATGTAATGCATAAGGAAAAAGAATGCTCTTCTGCAATTTTATGTATTGACAAGTATGTCTTTCATGCTGGATCACAGTCCTCGTAGTCTCATTTAATCATAGAGTGTGTTGTAAATACAGAATATTATCTAATTACATGATTATTTTCTGGAAATTCTTCTCTGCGTGTCTGCAAGCAGAACTCTAAAGCAAAATAATGTCAAATATTATTTTGTCATTATTCTTGAAATGGTATTGATATTATTTTAAAAGCTTAGTAATATATCGGTATTTTTCCTGGGACAGACACCAGAACTAAGAGCAGGTAACATACTTTTATACATTTTTTCAAAGAATCTACTACTATTTCTTCCCATTTTCACAGTATTATCTGATTTCCTATCCTGGGCTTTTTTTATATTTTTGATTTGTTTTCCTCTCTCAAAGGTGTTCTCAATGGACATATATGGATTTTGTTGACTATGAGTTAATGAAGAATAGTTAAAATCAGGGGTTTTTTCCTATCAGGACAAAACCCCCCATATTTTCACTGATATATATTGTTTAGATAAAGAGATTTAATCTGTTTGAAATTGCCCATGAGAATATATGTTTGAAAAATATAGAAGTTAATATTTCCTAGATGGAATGCGTATTGAGGAAACAAGGAGGTAGGCATACTTTAAACTCACCACTTATTAGTGCATAAACATCATATTAATATTTCCTGTACAATATAATGGTAAATTCAGAATAGAAAGTAATTCTGAGTTCTCTGGTTATTAATGATACTGAATTACTGATAAGCACCTTAAATTACAGTGTCATTCACATAATAGTGTAAATCTGGTTTATTACTTAAAGACTTGAATGTGCTAAGTTTTTGATCTCATGAGCATTTTCAATCACTAGGACATGATTTCACACAGTGATGAGTGACAAGACTTAAAAGAGAGAAGAAATTGGTTCTTTTCTAACCTCTACAAAGAAACTGCAGGTGTTATTTCTCCCTTTCCACAAGGTTTTACAATGCTACTGAAATTTCTGCATAGAAACTCAACACGTGAAATATGAGAGCAATGAGTTTTATATTTCAGCTTCTGTTACTTGGTCCTAATTACTTGACCATTGCAGCAAATCTAATGGAAGCAAAACTGTTGTAGAGCTCTGATCCACTTGGTCAGTTAAACCTTACACATGTATATCTTCCAGTGTATAAAGCCTTCAGTTCTCATTCTACACTCCAGGAAAAGCTTTTCTGAGATCCTCAACGGCTTTTAGAATTGGAATTGAAATTGGATTGGACTTGATGGAAATTGATTTTTCATCCACCTATGTCCATTGAAGAAGTCTTTGGCTTGTCACTGTGCTCAGCAGTGCAAAGGTTTGTTCATTCAAGAGGTTCATGACATAGGACCAAAAGCCAAATATCAGCTCCCTTCTGTCCCAAATCTAACCAAAAGTGACTGCTCTTTCTACACTCAGTCTCATCTAAAATCAGTCAAGGAAGTAGAATACTAGAGACCTCTGCCTGACAGAAACTCTTCATAAGACCATTGTCTTAATCAGTAAGGTTTTCCTCATCTCATATAAAATTGTACTAAGACAACTCCAGTAAAAAG